ATGCCATGTAGAATTAAGGCAGTTCTGAAGGCGAAAGGGGGTCAAACACCGTATTAGTATGGTGTTCCTAATAATCCTTTAGGTGAGTGTATAAGTTAACAGTAATAAGCCACAAGAGATAATACTTTGCATGATTAATAATTTGCTGTTTATTTTGAGCATTTACGGGCCGCCACCAAACAAACAAACAAAAAAAAAATAGAAGTTCCCACCAGCCAATTTTTGACTTTTGCCAAGCACTCACTCACTCCCAACTACTTTGCATCATATAATAATCCTCAAAATATATTACAATTTTACTGCTGAACTGGGGCACAATTACCAAAAGCTCCTATTAGCAACTTCGATAACTGAAACCTTCAGTTGCATGGTTCCAAATGTGTAAGCCGCTAACGTAATGAGCAACTATGCTTTTGGGAAACATACCCATGCTATGTTTTATTTTCTAGGTTCGCGGCGCAACTTCACATCAATTATGTGAATTATTCAAGTGATTTTAGTGCAAAAGTTATGTTCTTATGTTCTTATGTAAGTTAATGTTTTATGTAAAATATCTTATTTTCAGCAAATACTATCCATACTATTTTAAGCTATTTTATGACATGTATTTTGAGAAACACAAGTTAAATAAAACAATTGCTTTGTAGTCTTATACTTGCAAGAAAAGTCTCAAGAATGCCCTCCTCTCGTTTGTAAATTTCTTATGTTCTTATGTTCATAAAGGTAGTGAAAAATGCTAAAGGAGCAACCTAGTTACCAACAGCTTGTTTATATTTATAAAGACATTTTTTTTTTGTAATTTACAACATCACTGCTTACCCCTATTCATAGTTATCCAAATGATGTATTTTTATTGTATTTACATAGTGAAAATTCCCTCACGTCACAAAATATAAGGTTGCAGCTCTGCAATCACTTTAAACAGAACCCAAACATGTGCTCTTGTTTATAGAAGTTTTCACATGTGTTTTTGACCCAATAACGACTGTCGAATTACCTTATGTGTGTGTNGGTATCGGAGCGAAATTGGAGAGACAGAGCGACTGCTCCAGCCTTAATTAAAAAACCGCTTCGCGCTCTGACCAAATTCAGCCGGCTCCGCTCCTCGCTCACGCTCCGCTCCACTCCACTCACATGCTCTGATTCAGAGCCAGCGAGCAACAGACTTTCAAAATAATACTACTACTAATATAATAAACTGTGTTAATTCGCGATAAAATAATTGTCGGCGTTAATAAAGTACTGCGTTAACGCGATAATAACGCGTTAACTTGCCCAGCACTAATATATATATATATATATATATATATAGAGAGAGAGAGAGAGAGAGAGAGAAAGAGAGAGAGTTCCATATATGTTTAGTAGACCGTTCAAGGTTTCTGGGGTGTTTTTAATGTTTCTGTGACATAAACTCGTGGAGTGTTTCAGGCGGTTTGGCGAGATATGTTTGATCCTGCGGGGGATCGCCAGCTCCAGAGGGTTACATTTAAGCAACAGTTTTTAGGCACACCTGTAAAACGGAGTGATAGATCTGATGTGAAATGTCCGAGTGCGATTATACTCTGATAACTGCGCTCATAGAACACCTCTTGTCTGATTAGATTTCTTAGTCAGAACCAACTGTTGCATGATGATTGGTACAAGAATTGAGGCCTGTTTGTACTGCATTTGATGGCACAGTGGTTAGTACTGTTGCCTCACAACTCTGGGACCAAGGTTCAAGTTTTTGCTAAAGCCCCATGTGGAGTTTGGATCTTTTCCCTGTGTCTTTTTGGGGTTTCCTCCAAGTACTGTACAGTACTTTCCTCCCTGCAGTCCAAAAACATACTGAGGTTACCACATTGCCTGTAGGTGTGAGTACTGTGTGAGTGTGCCCTGTGATGGGTTGTTCCCTGACTTGTGCCTATAGCCTGTGGTATAGGCTCCAGACCCCCTGTGACCCTGAACTGGAGGTTCCAGGTATAGAACAGGGTTATTCAAATCACGGTCCTCAAGGTCCGAGCACTGCTGGTTTTCCAGCCTTCCTTTACCTGTGAGCCGGATATGAAGCCTCTGTGGCCAATTAGAGTCAGTAATCATTAAACTAACTACCTGGGAGAACTGAAAACAAGGCCTGGATTTGGAATCGAGGTCCAGATTTAAAGAGCTCGGGTATAGAAAATGGATGGATGGAATGAACTTAAAAAGGTACCTATAGTGTGTTATGGATGAGATCTTCATAAAACATTTGAAATGTATAATAAATGTGGGGCGGCATGGTGGTGCAGTGGTTAGCACTGTTGCCTCATACCTCTGGGACCCAGGTTTGAGTCTCCCCCTGGGTTACATGCATGTGGAGTTTGCATGTTTTCCCCATGTCGTGGGGTTTCCTTTAGGTACTCCAGTTTCCCCCCACAGTCCAAAGACATGCTGAGGCTAATTGGAGTTACTCAGTTGCCCGTAGGTGTGCTTGTGTGAGTGAATGGTGTGTGAGTGTGCCTTGTGATGGGCTGGCCCCCTGTCCAGGGTTGTTCCCTGCCTCGTGCCCATTGCTTCCAGGATAGGCTCCAGACCACCTGCAACCCAGTAGGATAAGTGGGTTGTTGGATGGATAATAAATGTGACCATAATGTCTTACCATTTTTCTAAATATGTATAGCCATGTTTAATATGCTTTAAGAATGTGTTCATGACATTCCTTGAAAATGTTACCAAAATGTTTTTCTGTTTTGTTCTTTTTTTAAACAGGATGGATGCAGTGTACCTCTAACGTGATCTTCAAGCCACACAGAACTGTTTAAAGAAATACAAAATACATAAAATTTATTATACAGTATATTATCCTCCAAAAGTCATTGACTAAATGACTGGCTGTTGTATATCCTAAAAAATCGAGGTAACAATAATAACGGATTACAAATGCGTTGCTTACGAACACCCGAGTGACACTTTCCCTATAAAGCTACTTCTTTCTGCTGAAGCACATATAGCTGCTTACCACAGTTACCCAGCCAAGGCGGTGAAAATAGAAAACTTGTGTTCATTAACACAAGGCAATATATATCAGAAGCACTTATGCTAAAGGAGACCACACACAACGTGGGCGATAGCTGAGGTAATTGATTTGTAACTGTAGTTAGCGAGTGTCTGATAATCACACTATTATTTGTTCTATTTTGTTTTGCCAGTGGTGTAAAAGCATAGATACTATCAGGCTACCCATCACTAGTTTCCATTGTGTCCTTGGACAAGTAGACCACCCAGTAAACCATGTTAAATGCTCCGAATGAGACCGGGAATAGGATGCGGGCATATTTGTCGATTTTGCTGGTTGCGTCTGAACTGGGTGAAGATGAAGAGGTTGGTGGCAGCAGGGACATGTGTGTAGTCCGTTTGGAGTCTGTCTTGATCCCTATCGCCTGCACAAGCTCTGGCTTGACTTTCTGGAGGGGTGGGGAGCCCGTATGTATGTTTGAATTTGGGGCTACAGGTGTGCTCCAGGGGGCCAGCATCTGTGCTGCATTTAATTGGCTGAATGGGTTGGGACTGGATTCTGACAGGCTGGAAGGGTACAGTACAGTGGGTGGTGACGGAGCCCGGGCTGCTGCGGAAGCTCCGCCTCCCATAACCTTGAGCGTGCTGCCCGAATCAGATCTTTGGCAGCTCCCTGAAGCCGCCTGGCTCACATAATTCACCCTCTTTCTCAGGCTGCTGTGTACATCATTCTGCTGCAAAACACAAAAGACAACTTAGAGGCAAAATATAATAATTCAAAAGAAAGAATATATAATACTTCAGTGTGGGTTTGCTTCCTAACAGAAAACCATCAATTTCATGGAATCTTTGCTTTTCAATCAAAATCAAGTCTAAAAAGCTTTACATACAAGTATAAAGTAGATAATGAGTAAATATTTACTATCCAATATCAATCTTTATGTTAAAAAGTAAAAATGAGCAACATGTTTGATTTTATTACCCCGCCTTGACTTCCCCATCACTATCTTGGTGGTGGTTCAATAAATTCTACACACATTAAGGGTTCAGGTTTAAGGGATTGCTGTCTATTGATTTCTCTTAACTCCAAAATGCTGTAATATGTTCTAATCCTGTGACAAATATTTAAAGCTTTCACTGTAGTGATAGCCCATCCCAGACTTACAGTACGGGTTAACAGTAAACATAATGGCAACTGACATGATCACTGAGGGGTACGCATGGGGGTGCCGTGGTTACCAATGTTGCCTCATACCTCTGGGACCAGGGTTCAAGTCTGTGCCAGGCCTTCACATGTGTGGAGTTTGCATGTTTTCTCCCCATGTGCTCATGGGGATTCCTCTGGGTTGTCAAATTGTGTGAATGATATTTACATGTCCTGCAATGGCACCCTATCCTGGGTTATTCCCTGCCCTGTGCCCGTTACTTCTGGGTCAGGGTCCAGACCCCAAAAACCCTGCACAGGACAAGAGGGTACCAAAAATGGATGGATGTTTCCGCAGCCAGAAGCATTTTGGGCAACAGAATCATTTCTGATATTGAATGATTATGAGTATTGCTTTTGTTAGTATCGACAGACCGTCCCCAATCCCTTAACCAGTATGGGGGCATGGCTAGTCCAGGGTGCATCCCCAGGCAGCAAAAGGCAGAGGATACCCCAGACAGGATCCCATCTTAAGTCAGGGTACCCACACTCACCACAGGCAACATGCAGTCTGCAAGTACCGCCGGAGGCAGGCATCAAACCCCCTAACCTACTGGGCTACTACCATTATCCTGATCATGTGAAATATGTAAAACATGATCACCTACTGTCCATTTTCTTAAAGGATGTACCGTGTTGACCCAAACATAAGATGAGTTTTTTTTTTCTCGGAATACATCTGAAAATGTGGTGTCGTCTTATATTTGTGGTCTAGACAAGAAAGGGAATAGATGGCACCAAATATGATATTTTGTAACAAGTGTTTTGACCGTAATATAAATTTACCGTAAGATTTCTTGTAAGAGCGTAAGACTCAAAAAGTGGGTCACACCAGATGCGTGAGAGCTGGCAGCCATAGCAGTGCGTGTGTTTAGGGTGTATCCCTGAGTGTCTTGCAAATCGCTGGCTTCCCTGGCTGTGCGCGTCATTAGCGCGTATCCCTGAATGTCGTGCAAATAGTTGGCTTCCCTGGCTGTGCTCGTGTTTAGCGCGTATCCCTGAGTGTCGTGTAAATCTTTGGCTTCCCTGGCTGTGCGCGTGTTTAACGCGTATCCCTGAGTGTCGTGCAAATCGTTGGCTTCCCTGGCTGTGCTCGTGTTTAGCGCGTAACCCTGAGTGTCGTGTAAATCGTTGGCTTCCCTGGCTGTGCGCGTGTTTAGTGCGTATCCCTGAGTGTCGTGTAAATCTTTGGCTTCCCTGGCTGCGAAGCTGCTAGAATTAAGTTGATAGTGGCTGTTGATAGTAACATTCACTTTAAAAGAGCTGTCATATCATTTGTTAATATGACTCAACCTTTCTCCACAATATGCTTTTTTACCCTCTGCTGCATTTAAAACATTCTGCACCCTCAAGGGTTTTGGGGTTAGTAATTTTCATACCCCACCCCCCCAATAAAACATTTGTGTTCTGGAATATTTGCTGTTTAATACACTTATTACAACCTTAATGCCTGTGGTTGCCTTTTAAACAGAGATTGCTGGTTAACTTGTATGTTCTTGTCAAATAAAATATTTTTTCTTTATAAAGGCAAACTTTGGTATTCCAAAATTTTTTTCTTTAAAGTAGTTGTCAAAAAGTAGGGGGTCATCTTATAATCGGGGTTGTCTTATATTCGGGCCAATACGGTATATTGATAAGCATTAACATAGGAATACATGCACCTCAGAATAACTAGAAAGAAAGAGCTATATGAAACCCATACATCCCTGATATTATGTGAAGAAACAACCTGAATTTAGAATCAGTCAAAAGCACTTTCCCTCACTGACAATTCAACCCACTCAGTAAAAACTAGTTCAACAGACGGCTTTGCTAGATGTCTGAGCAACGTTGAGATTTGTTTGAAAAGTGTTGTTTTTTTTCAGGTAGTTACACATTAATGTCAACGCTAACAGGACTCATAGTATTAATATTGCTATCATTATCATATTATCATTATCATTACTTACACATGCCTTACATGCACAGAAGATGTCAAAAGAAGACAAAAGGGCAAAAAGGACATGCAGCAGCAGGGAAAAGTGGACTGTCCGCCTGAAATCAGGACAAATAATCACCAGGTGGAAAGTTCAAATTCAGACAGTACAAATCCAGACCAGCAAGATTTTGTTTCAACCAATCAGTTGAGCACTCTGTGGGCTCTCTGTGAGTTAGTGCAACTAACATTTATGGGCGTGTCCAGATCCATTTCACTATTTTGACAGCGGAAAAACCAGACTTTGCGGCAACACAAAGCACATGGTTGTCCTAACTCTTTTAATTATTCAGAGGCGTGTTTTGGCCGTAACATGCAATGAACCAATCAGAATGGTGGGTCACCTCACCTTTAAAAGGCAGCGATGCATGATCTACAGCGGATTGCTATTACAATGATGTCAGATGACGGGAAAAACAAGCTCGTTGCTGAATGAGCACAGCGGTTGGGAAAGGGGACAGCACTTGTACAAATCTAACAAACCACTTTGCGTCACACTTTACGTCGCACTTTGAATCGGTGGAAAAGAAGGCCCTGTGACTATGACTCTTTCTACTCAATTGGTTGGCTGAAACAAAATCTTTGTCTGGATTTGTACTTTCCAAACCTGAACTTTCCACCTTTGATGGTCACCCTATGTACACAACATAGTGTTGTCAAAATTAAAGTCTTGATCTGTCATGTACAAAACTGATTTTTCATGGAATCGATTACTGTATATAGTCAGGGGTGCACATAACTGGTACGCAAGTACGCATTCACCTTTAAGAACGATACATGCGACAATCGATTGTAAAAGCACAAATGCGTACTTATTTTATGTGCATTTGCGCTGCTATGAAAACAAAATATAATGTATTTTAATCTGTATTCATTTGCGGTATATGGGTTAAAATGCAAGGTATTTTCTTGTCATAGCAGCTTCATGGATGAAAGCTTATCCTAACCTGTCTGCAAGTATATTTAATTAAAAAAAGATAAAAGTGTTTCAGGGAATCTCGCAACATTGTAAATTAACTCATCGTCATATCCCTGTTTACTTGGTTTCCTCGTAATTTGTAAGGCTGGTTGAAGCTGCCCCTAAATCTTATAAAATAATGTTTAATCTGAAATCTCTGTGATTTTTCTCCTCCAGGCAATACTACCCACTCTGAAGAATTACAGTCACTCCAATGAAAGCAGCAAACAGGACACAATATGCAGTTGTTTTATATGTTTCTTTAAGCAGAATGGGATTTCCATTTCTTCAGGCTGGCAGTGTTACTGATCCTTTCTGCGATTAGACTCCAGAAGGCCGGCATTAATTAAATTTAAACTCCTGAAGGCATACTCTGATAGTCAATTGGACACTATAACATTAATTTAACTTGCACAAATATACCTTAAAACTGTTATTTTCCATTACGGGTGCATTCAGTGGTCTCTGCCTGGACAGCCAGCTAAGCATGGAAAAATGAGGCAATTGACAAATTTATCTAATTAAAGACTAGTTCTTCTACTTCTAGTACTTTATTTTATAACCTCAGCCTGGGGGATTTGGAATAAATAAGTAAATAACCAGGGCCTTTTGTAAGACCGTACCCATCTACATTGAAAAATATCACCCAATCATGTTCCACAGTCCAACCAAACTCCACAAACCGTACACATTCTTACCGTAATGTCCACTCTGATTGCATAATCTTAATTATGATGCAATAAACAATCACATTGCACTGTTGTATAAAACTGCAAAACAGAGACTATGTTGTGTGAGGCTGCATGTGTTAGATGGCTCAGATGAGACAAAGAGGCATTGATTGTCCTTAATTTAAAAGTTATTGCTTGGATATGCATGTTGTTGTGATGAAACAACTGTCCAGTATGTTTAGGAAAAGTCTAACAATCTGCTAACAATCTACATCATGTCCATCACCTGGACCAGGGCCGGTCAAGCCTTTTTTTGGTGCATTTTGACTAACATAACTGTAACTCGTCATCTTTCTTCCCATCCTGACAGACTGATCAGATGGTGGCTTCCTGGATCACGTTTACCCTGGGCTGGCCCTGCTCTGGATTACTGAGTTTTTTCACCATACCAAGGATTCAACCTGAAACAGTGAGGTGTACTACTGGATCCACCATACAAAATAGGTCAAGAATGCATTCAAAAGCATTGAGACTTTCTGAACGAAGTTGAATTCCTTACGCGTGATACCACATTCTTGTGAAGCAAAATTAACTTAATCCTTGAGTAATACTGTAAATAGCTGCTGTGTCTGGACACCCTTATACTTTCCATATATTGCTTACTTACCAATAGTTGTTGGCTGAAATTGCAAGAAAAACTAGAAATTCTTAGTACACCTGAGCAAACGTCTTATCGCAAGAAAAGGTAACCTTACACCTCTAGGCAGAATTACACTAGAAATTGAGTGTTCTCTGAGTAAAGATTTTTAAAGGAGAATAAGCCAGTGAAAGTAAAATCTCAGGGGTCCTCAGTTTAACTCGGGGCAGAGATCAAGTGTTTTACCTCCCTGGGCAATGTGGAGGACTGCTCTCTACAGTTGTACCATAATGGCTTTCAGTATCTGCAGGAGGGCCCTTGACCTATGTGTGAGCGGCGAATGCCGACCAGCTGGCTCACATGCAGCACCTCTTCAGCGTCGGTGGCATCGCCTGGGCAGGGGACCCTGGCCGACCTCATCCGGGCAGCCTCCATCCGTACGTTGGTGAAATAGTTGACGGCAGCGAATTCAATAAGGGCGGAGAAGACAAAGGCGAAGCAGACGGCAATGAACCAGTCCATGGCGGTGGCATAGGAGACCTTGGGCAGCGAGTGACGGGCACTGATGCTTAGCGTGGTCATGGTCAGCACTGTAGTGATCCCTGCAAGCAGAAGGACGTGACACAAGTGACCTGACACTCCTCCCACTATTGAATAAGTAAACATTTATTTAGTAGATGCTTATATCCAAAGCGACAGACAATTGAGAAAGCAGGGCCACCCTAACCCTGAAGCAATTAAGGCTTAGGACCCTGTTCAAGGGCCCAACCAGAAATCACTCTGGCAACCACAGTTAAAGTAGGAATAATCTAGATTATATACTTCATAAATTTCTCAAAGGACGTTTACATGAGCTTCCATTCAGACAAACATCACAAACATTTATTAACAGCGGACACTCAAAAAGATAAGGCCCACAGATTTCGATTTATTATTGAGCTTAAATATTATGACTTTGGGGTGCACACTACACACGATCTGGCATAAACCTTCATTGTGAAGAGTCCATTTCAATTTCAGTAAAACATGTAGCTTAATGTAAACAACAACAACTCAAAACAAATTCTGTATATGATGCATCCACCAAATTAACATAGTCTTGTTTGCACAGTTACACCAACTGTATTCTTCCCCAAATATTTCCCTAAATGGCATGACACCCCAACTTAGCTAATTACCCATGAATCACCTGGAGAACAACCTATGAGAAGCTTACAAACAAAAATGACAGCTAATGTTACCCTTTAAGCATTACAGCATTTGTACTGAATCGGTCACACCTGAAAGATTTACAGATAAACAGCTACGGCTACATCACATGCTATGATTTTCTAAAAACAAGGCAGGTCTTTCCAAAAATATTTTTAAGCCGAAAACGAGGCAATTTCTGTTTGATATGCTCAAACCTGGCATCAAAATATATTATTTTATCAGACTGTGTTGTCTCAATGAAAACAGCAGAATAGATAATCTAGTTAATAGACAGCAGCATCCAGTAGGAATGGGATTATATACCTTTATAGTTTGATAAAATAACATCAGAAAAAAATATTACTTCAAAAGAATGGCAAAAGACAGACCACCTAAAACACTGTGGGGCTGTGCTGAATATATCAATTTGCTGCCTAATAAGCAGAATAAACGTTACTCAAAGCAGAACAGGACTAAATTTCAAAATAGCATTGCTTTTACAACTTATAATGACTGCAGAAACCAAATTAGTTTTTAATTATGTACATCAGTGGTTCAGAACCAGGCCTTATCTGGGAGATTTAAATGGCTCAAAACGTGAAATATGCAAGTACTGACGTTACATACATCTGCCCAGCATATACTGAGCATGTCTGTATCATATTCCCTTACGTTATTGTTCTACAATATTCAGTAAAATAACAGTCACGATTTGATAAATAGGAACCTGGTGAAAATAGTTGCAGTGAAATGATCCTTGCTTTATCACTGTTACCTTAATTCCCATTCCTACTGGATGCTGCTGTCTATTAACTAGATTATCTATTCTGCTGTTTTCATTGAGACAACACATAGTTTGATAAAATAATATATTTTGATGCCAGGTTTGAGCATATCAAACAGAATTTGTCACGTTTTCGGCTTAAAAATATTTTTGGAAAGACCTGCCTTGTTTTTAGAAAATCGTGGCGATTATGGCTATAAGAAATAACCAGTGCTGTCTACACACTCAGAAAACTGAAGAGATATCATTTGATTCAGTATGGTACCAGAAATGTGCCATCAAGACCATAGGCTCCACTGAAGGCACAGTCAGAAATGGCTTCTAATCTAAATTCAGGTCAGCTTTAGGCTGGACACAGGAAATGTGATCCTGGTACACGTTTAAAGTGCTACGTGCTTACCTGATCAGCCGGCAATGATGCTTTTTGTTCAAAATGCAGGATGTTGGACTGGATTAATAAATATTTTTTTCTGAAGACTAAATTTGCATTCAAGTTCTTAATATTCTATACCGGCCCCAATCCTGAGGTAATGTAAAAATCACAAGGTACAAATGTCTTCACTTAAGAAAAAAAGAATCTTGTCTTACTTAAACTCCAAACACATTTCTAGAAGCTACTGCCTAATGGATAATGTTTAACAAATTAACAGTATTTGTGAGAGAATGTTTTCCTAGACTCCACATCTGATATTTACTGAGTCTGGAACGAGTAAAGAAAGAGAAAATATTCAATTGTTCTTCTATATAAAGAGGGGCGGGTCCCTTCACTGTCTGAATGGGATCAAGACCAACAGATCATAATACAGCTATTGCCTTACTTCTAAGCTCAATGCCTACCTGGAAATATCATAAGATGGTACCACTGGTGAACTGGGCTCCTACGTTCCCTGTTACTAGTGAACACACCTAAGCAGCCTCTTATTTGGTGGTGAAGTTCAGGGCGTTTCCACATTGATGAGATGTGAACGGAAAATGAAAGTGCACAGGAAGCAGGAGGGACACCATCGAACATCAGACTCTTTCTCATCCACTGCTTTCACATACCTCGGGTGCTGGAATTTTAATTTGGGTTCAAAAGAGGCAACTCATAGGGAACTCACAGCCCCGAAGAAAGACTAAGTGCTGCACAAGGTCAGCCGTGACGAGTTCTGTATCAAGCCCCCAGGGCCGAGGGAAATTGTGAAATTACTGCGAGTGAACCTCTGCCTGACTGGGAGAAAGGCATTTTTTTGTATTACATATACAAGAGTGAGAGACCTAGGGACAAGCTCTGCCTGTTTGCTGTTGCTGGCACCTCAAAGGGTGCTTGGTGCTGTTGATGTAACCTGAAAGCAGCGATGGAAGAAATGGGAAATAAAATGAGAAAGGTGACACTGATACCATCACAGTCGGAGGTTCTGCCCTTTCCTGACTGGTTTAATCTTAATCCCCACTGGTTCCCATCCAGGGTTTGACTGAGATTCTGCCCAACTCACCAACCCCTGCAGAGCCGCATCTCTCCCACCACTACAGCAGTTGTACATTACAAACAGCACCTGCAAAAGTACTTTTCCCCTCACAGGATCATTTTGCCTCTAAATCTTGTGCATACACATTGTTTCTTACTGGAACCAATAACAATTACATTTTGCAAGACACTGTCACCCTGATTTGAAACTAAAGATTGAGCTGTAAATAACATTAACCCTAATATGTTAAAATATACTGTAAAGATAACGTAAAATTGCTTCTTGAATGTGGTTTATCTTATGAATGTGGTTTAATTACCCTTAATAACTATTTACCCAAATATACAGCAGAATATATACGTACCCAAGCCCTTCCCTGTGCCTCATGTCGCAACAATAATGAACATTAATATCAAAGGTTACCGATACACAAAATTCAGAAAACAGATGGTATAATGTATGTAATTTGGTAGGGATGCACCGATACCACTTTTTTGGAAAACGAGTACGAGTACGAGTACG